ATAATAATAATAAAGAAGAGGCCAGTCTTTGGAAAGACATTATACTCCAAAAGGTAGAGGGTCAGCAAGAGATAGGTAGACCCTCAACAAGATGACCTTTATTGTAGAGCAAGAACAAGGAGCCAAGAAAGAGAGGGGATTAATCATATGGCCACACAATTTGCTGGGTGGAGGGAGGGAAAAATTCAGTATGAAAAACAATGTATGTTAATTGTATGAACCTTATGTGTAAACCAGTATAAATTATTTTTTAAAAAAGAAAAAAAAAGGTAGTCCTGTAAAGTTTTAATAAGCTGCTAATGTCTCCTGATCAAAATGTGAAGAAACTTACTGTATTTTCTGGTGAAAATATTTCCTGATTACCAAGGGAAAATAGGATAGATATTGCTGTTGTTGTGCTGTTGAGTTGCCTGTGACCCTTAGTAATCTCATGTACAGCTGCTCTGAACCCTACCCTGTCCTGAGCCAGTCTCACTAATTCTGAAGAATAGTATGACTTAGGAGCTCTGGTGGCCTACTGGCAAGAAGCTGTGTTGCAATCCTGAAGGAACGTGGTTCATGGACACCAGCCGGTCCACAAGAGGAAGACAGGTAATCTTCTCCCCTGTGATGAACTGCCTCTGAAACCTGCCAGGGGGTCAGCTATAGGTTGGTTCCGACTCTACGGTACATAGAAAAAACAAATACATGTCTGGAATACAGGAGTTTCCTTTAGTATTGCCATGCATGTGCTATTAGTCAATGGCTAACTACAGCAACCCAATTCTGGCATAACTATTAATGGCCCAGACCTTTCAAGAATGAAGATTTGGGTCACTCTGTCAGGTAAAGAACCAGGAACACCTGAGCTGCTTGCTGAGGGCAAAGAGAATATACAATGGGTGGTGGAGAGTTTTTCTAAATACTAGCTATGATCAGTTGTAGAAACGAGGTCCGTAATTGTTGTATTTCTTTCTGCTATGTATGAATGGTATTTTGTTTTCTTCACTGAGAGCATGCTCCTAGTTGTACCATTTATAAGTCATTTATCATTTATATGTCCTAAGTCACGCTAGGTACAAATATGATTTTATGAGTGTTTTGTTGTATGGTTTGAGTATACAAGTTGTATGGTTTGTTGTATACAAGTGCCAGACTGACAAGGGATTGATAATTGATGGTTAATACTGTCTGTCAATGTGGCCGTAATTCTCAGTAGAACACAACTATCCTATGTGTTGCAAATTTGTACTTCTACGATGTTAATGAGACAGGACTAGGGCTAGTTCTGTGCATAAATTCTTGTTAGGTGCTGCTGAGTTGATACAACCCATTGTGACTCTGTGAACAACTGATCTGAACCCTGTCGTATCCTGTACCATCCTCATCATCTCTGACACACTTGCATCCACTGCTGCAGACACTGCGTCAAGCCATCTCATTGAGGGCCTTCCTCTTTTGTTGACCTTTCACCTTTTCAAGTATAATGTTCCTCTTCAAGGAATAGCCTCTTTGATTAACAAGGCTAGTGAAGTATGTGAAATGAAGCATCATTATCTTTGTCTCCAAGGAGCACTCTGGGTGTACTTTTTCTAAGTCATCTATTTGGGTTTTTTGGCAATCAGTTCTCTTCCAATACCACAGCTCAAAGCCATCAATTCTCCTTTTGTCATCCTTATTCACTATCCAGCTCTCAGATGCATAGCCTGTGACTGAAAAAAAACATGGCCTGAATCAGGTGTACTTTAGTTTTCACTACCATCATTGCTCCTCAGTACTTTGGAGAGTTCCCTGACTGAACTCTTGATCTCCTGACTCCTAATACCAAGGGTGCTGATTGTAGACCAAAATAAGATAAAACTGTTGAAAAATTCAATCTTTTCCCATCTATCATGCTGTTGCTTGTTAGTCCAGTAATGAGGATTTTTGTCTTTTTAGTATTAAACCGTAATTGATATTTTTACTTAAGGCTGTAGTCTTTGATCATCTCTAGCCAGCATTTCAAGTACTCCTCACTTTCAGTAAGAAGGGTTGAACACAGGCCATTAATGTGTTTTCTCTCCAATCCTGATACCACATTCTTCTTCAGAGTTGGTAAATATACAATCAGCTTTATCTGAAGAAGGTAAAGTCTTCTCAGGGGTGTGCCCTCCATTCAGTGTGCCCAGACTCCGGCTAAATTAGGGAGCTTCTCTCACATCTGCCTCAAGGCCCCTGGCCTTGAACCAGTGCCCTGCCACACTTGCTCACTTTAGACTCAGCAGTTTCCAAAGGCAAATGACTTTGACCTCGTTCCTCAACATCAGCCTCTGAAGCTGAAGCCTATGATCTTGTTCTCCAAGAACCTTTGGATTAGTTGGCCTGTGACGCCAGTAGTCTCTGGCGCCAGCAACCGGAGCCCCTACCCATACCAGGTGCTTCTCCCAGACTTTGCACTTGCCAGCCTCTACAATCATGTAAGCCATTTGCTTGAAAGAAAGTTCTCCTCTCTCTCTAAGCTTCACTTGTTTTGCATCTATAGAGAACCCAGCCTAAGACATCTTCCATAGCCACCTAACTGCTAACAGTCATTCCTTTATCTTCTAAAACGTCATTGTATCGTCTGCACAGTATCCATTACAATTGACACTTTTCTTAGCTATTTAATTAGTCTCTCTCAGCTTGCCTCTAAAAAATTTTTTTTAATCTTGTTATTATACATCCCCAGTGCCTAGAAAAACACCCAGCATATAATAAGTATTCAACAAAGGTCTTTATAAACACAATTCTCATGGCAAGGGCCTAAATATTAAATGTACCTTCCTCTCACATGTAAGAGACTGAATTCATGAAACTGAATTCTGGCCCTCTAAAGGCAAATAGATGGAAGGATACCTTGCTGATACTGACATTTTAATTTTTAAAAAAATTTGGTATATGAGAACGTAGTATTTTATTTCTTGTGTTCATTAGCAACTAATATTTGAGAACATTAATAAATAAAATACTAATAAAACTTTAAAAATCCAAGAGAAGTTAAGTTTATGAGTTGCACCCCTCCTATCTAATTGTTTGTTGTTGTTATGTGCTACCAAGTTGCCTGTGACTTGCAGTGACCGTAGGTACAGTACCTAGTACCTGAACCCTGCCCTATCCTGAGCCTGTCTCACTGACTCCAGCACACCTAGTCCCATTATCCCAGTCACTGTAACAATCCATCTCATCCAGGGTCATCTTTTCCTGTGCTCATTAGTGGGTATTAATAAGAGAAATAATTAAATAAATAATAACACAAGCTAGTATAGAAAAAAATTTATAAATAAATGCTTGGTGTTGGCATGTCTCCATACAATTCATTTTTCGCTGTAAAGTTCTTTGGCTGTAAGAAAGAACATTTGGTTTACGTCACTAATAGGAATGTCTCTTAGCGCTGGGATGGCTTCTTCTTGGTATTTCTTCTGCTGTTGGTTTTTAGCATAGTTATCTGCAAGACAAAAAGTTTTATTTGATGAAGTAATATCTTTTTCAGTATCTGTGTCTCATAAAAGATCTAACACACAATTGCTTAGTTTAATGTTTGGAGTATGACAAAGATTATGTTTAACATGCTAAATGAATATTTAAATCCTCTCTTTACAAAGAATGTCCCAATGGAAATAAAAAAAATGTATTTAGTAAAGTAGGTTCTCATGAAATAAGATATTATTATTTTATTCAACTGTATAATGATGATTAAGATTTTCTTTGCACATTCCTCATAGAGACACAGTTATAATCAGCCTTTGAAAATGAATTTAAATCAACATCTTCAAAATTATTAGGTTATTTGGTACTACAAGTCACACAGACTCAATTTTCCATGTTGTATGTACGCATTTATTATAATTTCAAGATTGCAACTTATCAGGAAAGAAAAAAATACTACTATGAATTTTCAAAATACATTGCATAGCTTATTAACAATAGCAACTATAACAAAAATATTTTGAAAAGGTGAAAAACTAACCCAGGGAATGTAAACAGTGCTTTACTTCCCAAAATCTAAGCAAACTCAATTTTCATTTTCCAATTTGAGATAAATGAACATTAAAAAAAGCCACAACAAAACTGTAAAAGCTTGTCATTTCAATCAACTTAATTGATAACTGAGATAAAGGTGAACCCAGTGATACTGAGTGTATGCCCCACTGTAACCTAGACCACTCCTTCCAAAGTCTGCATGTTCTCTTTGTCTAGATTCATCAGCAATGCTGTGCCTATTTAGAATAAAAGGAGTTTCTTTCAGGCAATCTGCTAGAGAACATATCTTACAGTTGTGGTTTTTATGGGAAAATACACCTATTAACTATATAAAAACATATGTTGTTATGTGCCGTCGAGTCGCCTGCGACTCATAGCGACCCCATGTAAAACAGCCCTAAACTCCGCTCTGTCCTGTGCCAATCGCACTGTCTCTGACACTCCCATCCCAAGTATCCCAGTCACTGAATCAATCCACCTCATAGAGGGCCTTCCTCTCCTGCGCCGTCCCTCCACCCTCCCAAGCATG